TTTGACATGTTTATGTGAAATATACTTTGAGTTATGAGGGGGTCAAAAGTGGCTCCAAATGGTTCGTGTAATATTACACACGGTGCTGCTCGCCAGTTCTGTTAGCTAGAACTTGGCTTGACACGCTTCCGCGTGTCTAGATTACATGTATATAATACCTATATAGTATTAGGTATATTATTAAAATTATATATTTAATAGACCATAGATTTACTTTCGGACTTTTTGTCGGACAGTAAAAATGTACTCGGACTTTTTATCCGGCAATCAAAAAATGAATCCGGACTTTTTGTCCAACTTTTTTCATACCGGACTTTTCGTTTCCGGATTTTTTGACTGGTTACCCAAATCCCAAACGCTATTTGCGCTTATGTACGAGACATATTTCAATATTTGTATAACCTATATTATATACTGAACTTTAAAATACAAAATCATATTATTCATTATTTAAAAATCTATCATGTTGCAAAATTTTCTTTAATAACAATCATTATAAAAAAGTGGGTAAGTAGAGGTCACTATGCTGTACCTACAGTATATTACAAGTGGGTCACTTTAATGGATGGTGTTAAATTTGAATTCAATGATATAATATCATTGTTTAAGAAAAACGATTCTGAGCGAAAACTGTCAGTCAGCCTATGATATTACGAAGTATATTTGATGATGTTATTGTGAATAAAGTAATTTATATATTTACCTATTTACGCGAAACTTTGTTTTAAATTTTCAATTCTTAGCTATAAAAGTTAAACATTTTATAAATTTTTAACCACAAAATAATTATTAAAATTAAAATTTGATAAACTTTGTCAAAATTCGAACTTTAAATGCTTATAAAAAAAAATTGTGCCTATGTATTTTTAATATTTTTCAACTGCTATTGTAACAATATATCAGGAGCCTTGCATTAAATTTTCACACTTTTTTACCAAACAAATAAAGTTTTATTGACATTCATAGAAAAAAAAGGTGGGCAAGTGGGTGTAGCTCTGCTGTACAATAGGTTACAAGTGGGTCACTGTATAATGGATGATATTAAATTTGAATTCAACGATATAATATCATTGTATAAGAAAAACGATTCTGAGCGGAGACGGTATGTCAGTCTATGTAGGTATAAGACAAATTATATACATATCTATGGTATTAAACAAAAAATTGACCTATAATAGGTACCTATAATAAATTCCAAATTAATCATATCACAATATCCATTATGTACTGGTAACGCGTTATACATCAACAAAAACCGTGATACTATCATATATATATAATAGTACACTTTAGAAGTTTCAAGTACTCACGAATAACATTATTCAATCACAACAAAATAACTAAAATAGTTATTCTAGGTTTTTTATATGTAATTTCGTTCAAATTTGAACATAAAATGACTATAAAAATAAACTGTGATTGTACATTTTTTAGATTTTTTGGTTACAGTATGAACTATTTATGAGAACTTTTGTTTTAAATTTGCAATCCTTAGCTATAAAAATTGAACATTTTATAATTAATTAATTACAATGATTGATAATTTTCGAGATTTTGATAAATTTTGTCAAAATTCGATCTTTAAATGCTTATAAAAAAAATTGTGACTATGTATTTTTAATATTTTTCAAGTGCTATTATAACAATATATCAGGAGCCTTGTATTAATTTTTTACACTTTTTGGCCCAACAGATAAAACTTTATTGATATTTATAGAAAAAAAAAAACTAAAAAAATTGAACACTGAAAATGTCCGTAAACAGCTCAAAAAGAGTCAAAATATTTTCAAAATTGTATGGTGTAAAGGAAATGCTAATATAAACTTTCAGTGAAATTTTCATGTATCTACAATTATTCGTTTTTGAATTACAACAAAATAAGGAAATCGCTACATGAGAAATCGAGTGAATATCCAATGTTGTAAAAAATTGAGTTTCAAACGCTCATTAAAATTTAATATGACTTTCTTATAGACATTTTTTTTTTGATAAAAGTAGATAATTTTATAAGAAATCTTGTATCAGATTTTCAAGTCTTAGATTTAAAAAGAAATATTTTTACGAATTCTTAACACAAAATAATTTGCTAATTTTCGTGATTTTTCCATATTTTGTCAATTTTTGAACTTTAAATGCTTATAAAAAAAAATTGTGATTAAGGATTTTTAATATTTTTAATCTGCTTTTTAAACAACAAGACTAGGAGCCTTCTTTTAAATTTTCAAGATTTTTTAACCAACAAATACAATTTTATTGATATTTTTAGTTGTACTAACAAATTATAGTACAATTAATGGAAAAAAAAATGGACATAAAAAGGCATAATATTTTATCTAAATGAAGTGTTATAATTAATTCAATATATGTGTAACAGGAAGACCTGAAAAAAATATGATGCTACTTAAATTGAGAAAAGTATATAATTAATAAATAATTATTATTTAAGAAAATATGTATATAATACCAATAATCAATATACATATGTATACTGAAAGTCTCAAACCACGTTATAAGTAATAATATATAATGTGTATATAGGTATGTAGGTACTATTCCGAATCATCCGATGGATGAAAAACAAAACAGTTAAAAAAGAAAACCCATGCAAAATATAATATTATCAATTATCATATTCGAAACGAAGATGATTCGAAAATTTTAACTAGGCATCGATAAAAGCTGTAAAAACGACGCAAACGGGTGCAAGTATATTATATGACGAATAAACACATCTCATGCACACACACACACACACACACACACACACAAACAAGCACGAAAGCCAACCGACTAACATTTGGCTCGGGCCGCCTGAACGGACACGACACTAAGGTGTCGGAATTGCTGAGCGATTTGTCCAGTTCCGGAAGCTATTCTGAAGCGAGTTCATGTTGAGCAGGCTCGGCGGCACTGCGCCGCAACCACCTGCAGACGTGCTTTCCAACAGGAGTTTACGGTGGTGCATACAACTACCCCTATTTTTTTAAAGCAAAGATATAACAACAACAATCATCAATATTGTAATAACGTGTAGATATTAGAACCTAAACTCAATTTATACATGAAATTAGTAACAAAATTTATAAGTATCAGAATAATTAATCCAAAAATACACAATAAATAATTCCTAAATATACTTTGTTTAACTAACAGAAAAGTAAAAGAAATAATGAAAATATATACTTAATTACTTCTATGGTTATAATAATAATATTTTAAATGATATAAGATAATAATAAGTTGTTAATTATGCCTTGCTTTTCAAAAATACCAATGCTGACAAAATATGATACGGCGTCATTCGGTTAGGTTAGGTTATCGTAAAAGTCAAAGTGGAAGTATACTATTAAAGTCTACAATCTTAATTTACTACCAAGTGGATTTTCCTTTTAACCGATATTCGATAATAGATTGATACTTATTATACTTATAGTTAAATATACATTTAATATTTTCAATATAAAATTATAAACCAACTGTACATATCAGATATTTAATTTTAATTTTTTTTATTTTCTATAATACAACAGTTGAACCAAATTTTCAAATGTATAGTGTATACTGGGTAGTGAATATTTACTATTTAGTATTATTCATTTCAGTTGTACTTATCCTACAGAATAATTCAAGCTAGGGCTGTATCATATAAAGACATTTTTTATTTTTTAATAACTAAAACTTAATACTGTTCATAAAGTGAAGTGCAAAAGTATGTACCTGTTTTACAATTTTGAAATTCAAATAATTTTAGATTCTGAGTGGAACGATGAATGTTTTTTATTTAAAATAGAAAATGTTCGTTTTTTATATTAGAATTGATAACGAAACATTTTTATTTTCTGCTTTAGAATACGGAAATCCACAATGTGAAACCCAAATATTCGGATTTTACAACTTAAAATCCAAAATCCGAAATTCGGATTTTTCGGATTTTCGGAGAATCTGGATTTATTTCACACCACTACAACACACACACACAAACACGACGATGTACAAGAGTTAAGTGCATTTAGATTATGTATATAAGTAGAGCGTAAATGTACGTAACTCAAAACCTCTTATAGAGCTAAAGAACCCTCCAGCCCTCCCCAGACACCCACTCATAAGTCTTAAAATTGTTTGTAAGCATAAATTACACACATACCTATTATTGTATACAATATATACAGCGCGGAAATATAATAGTCAGTCTTACGCGATACAAAATATTGTAAATGTGGTTAAAATTAATACTTTTAAATTCTTTTTTTTACATTATTTATACGTTTTGAGCATATTATATTATGTAGATATACCTAGATGATCATCTGTATATCACACAATGCTCATAATTCAAAACTTTGAATTTCAAACAGATTTATGAAATTTACATTTCGATCGACCTACTCGACAAATAAATTCCATACCGAATACATATAAAAATAAACACGTAATATTTTTTCAATATGCTTCGACGTCAATCGCCCGATATACTTTGCACCTACGTTATATATCTACATATTACGTTCGGAAAACCTACTACATAGTACCCACATATTGTATGTATATACATTTTAACTGCTATAATGCAGTTGAAGTCGTCGGCAACATTTTTTTTTAAACTAACACAGCTGCAGACAAAATATAATAATTTATAAATGATATAGGTATTTTATTATTATATTAACGACTATGTCTAAATACATCTCGTATATTATATTTTATCAAAACCAACAACATCCGTGATGAGAGGGAGGAATCGAGTGATTAAATTAAAATTTGACATAGGTTTATTAGGTACACAACAAAATCAAGAATCATGCGAGAAAAAATTGAGAAACCTCCTAATTTACGGTACAATTTTTAAACATATTAGACAGATTTAATTAAAATTATTGCAACAATATAAAAATGGAAGTACACGCGTGAACATATTTTGCTATATAAATAGGTATATAGGTCCGTATCTACGACGATAAGAGGTAGCATACGAAGGTAGTTAAAGTGAAGGCTGAAGCGTGTTATCTACTAGAGGGTGCCATGACGGCAGGAAGATCGTTACCTATTAGGGGAATCTGTGGTGAGGGGTGACAGGCCAGGTGACGAGTTGGTCCGGACCACGGCGGGAACCGGAACCCTCCTCCTTGCTTGTTGTCCGGAACGCGTCCCGGTGGGTGCACACTTGAGGCGACGGCGGCTGGTGTTTGGCCTCGACCAGAATCTTGACCGAGGGCTGCTCCACAAGTGGGAGGCTGCTGAGGGCGCTGTTGATGCGGCGGCGACGGTGGAGGCATGGCCGGCGGCGGTAACAGACTATAGGCGACCACACGGGCCAGAACGGCGGCGACCTGACGTACCCACTGTGCAATGGAAGTTACATACATAACATTGATGCTATGTTGAATTTAGGTTTCAAAAAAACATTACCAATTAATTGTTTAAATAATTGTTCCATAAAAATAATATTTATATGTCAACAACTAATATTCTATACATGTTTATGATTTATCAATGACACGATATTACAATGAAACATGACGTATACAATATCATAAAGTTGTTTCCTACAAATTTAAACTAATTGTATTATATAGTTGTGATGACTGATAGTCAGGAGCGGCACCAAGGAAGAGGACAAGGGTGCCTCCCCAATTTTATTTTTTAGTGCAGGCTAGTGGCTTCACATTTTTCAGAAATTGTGTGTTTAATACTTCTCCGTTCCATAAAGAAATCAAGTATACTAAGTTGTTTTCAATTTTCGCTTTGTGCTATATCCACGTAGGAGAAAATAACATAATAAAAAAATATACAAATAATATAGGTATGTCACAATAGTAGATAGGTATAGGTACTTCGCGATTTCTACATTCACGTAGGTACGCAGTAATTATTAAATAGAAAATACTATGATATATTATATATTAGTCGTCCGCATAATAATATAAAGACAGGTAGTAATATTATACTGTTACGTCTACAAAAACTTGATAATATAATATACGATACGAAAAAAAAATTAACTCTGTAGCGGTTAGCGGACGGTGGAGAACGATAAAATTCTATAATGAGGGTGAAGATGACCCATCCAATTTCTCTCAAATCAATCTCACTCATATCAATATTTAGCAAATAATTAGCAAGCTAGGTTTTAAAATTTCCAAGTCATTATTTTCAAGTACACAGGACAGACATAAAGAAAGGTGGCCAATACTCCACGTGGCCCACATTTTTTCACCCACACGTTCGAAACTGTTATCATTCGATTCCTTATAATTACCAGGTTATAATTGTAAGTCCATAAAAAAAATGTGAAAGTCCACCCTACGACCTGTGCGAATTTTTGAAGTTCAGTGGGCCAGTCCACCTATTTTTACCAGTTGGTTAAAAAGGTGGGCTAATTATTTGATAAGTGTTGATATGGGTTAGATTGGTTTGGAAGAGATTGGGTGGCCCATATTCACGATCATAAAACTCGATTATATTCACCCACCATAATATAATACCTGTACAATTTGAACATTGTCCAAATAGAACGAAAAACCAATGTATCAATATTTACGAGACCGTGGTCTATAGATCACGATATAAGTGAGTACATTAAGTTTCGTACATTTCATTCGACTGCGAAAATACCTTTTAAATGTACTCGTCATTCACATAACTAATAACGCTGCACTATAACAATATCATTATAATAAAAACATACTTAACATGATACATGATACATGATATACTAACCTATACATGATACATCTATACTAGGTAACTGAAGTGTACATGGTATATAGTAGTACACTATAGTACCTACGTATATTATATCGCACAACACAATAGGTGTCCGACCACTGCAGGCCCGTAGTCAGACCAAATTTTCAGGAGGGGCAAAGCAAATTTTTTGGGGGGCATTATAATATATAAATGTATTAAATATTAATGCAATTTTTAATTTATTTACATTGACATCTCATTAAATTAACACAACTATAATTTTCCATCTAATATCCATTTATAATAGAATATTTTGGGCATTTACAATGAAACATTTGTTTTAAAGATACCAAACGAATAATACTTAATAATAAAAATAAAACTTATGTTAGAGTTTATATTAAAGTTTACATAGATAATTATAATATTCATCATATTCACTGATGTTACGTGGTTAAATTTTGAACGTTTTAATATTAATTAATATATCTTCAATTTTCTATTATTCTGCTTGTTGAAGTTCGTTAATAATGTTCTATAATATAGTGTTCTATAATAAAATGTCAATTGATAGGAAATTATTGAGCTGCGATAACGATAGCAATCAATTTGCCAACAGTCGTCGTGACACGTCAGTATCGTACTCGTCATGGCCCGGAATTTCCGAAATAAATACTACAATACGGCTAAAAAAACTTTTTTGATCTATTCTATTACCGATGAAAATGTTATAAGCAATAAAATACATACCTACCTAAACATCTTTCTAATATTTTTTAGGGGGGGGGGGCAATGATTGGGTTTAGGGGGGCTACTATCTTCTGTAGTAGTTGTAGGGCTGTCGCCTGTGCCCCTTACCCGTGTGCGCCGCGTTTCGTCCAGCCGTTATTGTGCGCAGTCGCGCTCGTTGGCCGCCGCTTCACCCCGCCACCCCTCCCGACGCGTACCATCATTACCGCCCTCCACCTGTCCCGCAACGCCATCGCGTCTTTCACAACGCTAATTCGTTCGGCGGTTCCCGCGCTAACCGATACGGTACGCGTTCCGGTACAGCGATCGAGTACTCAAGTGTTCCCCGTGCGAGTCCGTCAGTTATCAGCTTTCGCCTTTCAGTTTGTTATCAACCCGATTCGTAGTTCGTCTCGATTCCCCGTGCTCCAGGCCACCGCAATGCCTAAAGGTATGTTCGAAATCGGTGTCGTCGCATGGTACGTGGTATAGTGATGGGACTATAGTTGTTTACTTGGGTGAATTAGTTCGTTCGTTCATCGTTCACCAAAATTTAAATAGTTCACTGAACGATCAAACTGAGCTGAACTATGCGTAAAAGTATTATAGTTCACTGGTACCGGATTGTTCTAGCGATTACTGATTAGTGAACGAAACGGGAAATCGTTCGAATATGGTCTCGTTCAATAATTACGAATCGTTCGGTTTTAGTAGTTCGTAGTAGTGAACGTATAACATATACCTGGTATACAGTATACAGTGTAAAAAGAACGATGAACGGATGAACGACACATCTCTAGTACGTGGCGTGTCGTCTCGGTGGACCCGCCGCAGGTGTTCGCGTGTTCCGTTATCGACGGGCCTCGACGGTTTTCACGCGTACTTTTCCGGTGGGCCTTTCTTATGTAACCATTCCGAATGGTGACCAACTCGAAATCGAGCTCGGTCCGAGTCATCTGACGGCGACAGAACTCGAAAAACATACTTATTCAGTTCCTATTCTTCGATGTTTGTTTGTTAGTTATTTTTATAATAAAAAAGAATCATATTATTTCGGCAACTTGATCATAATCGGCCAATGACGAGGTTTAAAAAAACTCTAAACTGCGTATCATAAAAAACTATGCTTTGTGACATAAAAAATAATATGTTAAAAATTGTGTGATCTATATTCATTTCCAAATAACTTCTGCTTCGTGAGAATACCTAATAAAAACCTTATCCCATAAATATTGTTTGGCTAATGTCTGGAAATATCTAGGTAGGTAGGTAGGTACTCAATAAGTCTGCATTTTACATAGGTATTATTATATTGTTTTAATTTTTTATTAAGAGGACACTGGCATTTCTTTTCTCCGTCTTATAAATGTACAGAAGGCAACATTTTTCAATGGTACATTTTACTCTGTAATTTCTAAAATGTAAAGCTAAGATTATTTCCTGGGCATCTCAGTGGCTGTTATTGATATTTTTTTTTATTGAGCAGCGAGTTACGAACATTTTTTGTGCATTTTAAAATTATCATAACTCACTTAAAAATAATAATATAAATAAAATCCTCATAGACGTCCTAGTAATATTCTTACCTTTAAATTGTAAAAGAGGTATATTACAGAGTAAAATTTATTATTGTGAACGTAAAATTGTATTGTACGTTTGTAAGACGTTGACAACAAATGTCGGTATAAAATATAAATCTACTTTACCGGACACCCTTTTTTTTTCAATTTTTTTTTTCAAAATACGTGTTTTTTATGCTGAATTCAAAACTGTTTGAAAAAACTCCCTCAAACTTACCGTTCAAAAGTTATGGCAATTCAAAGTTGTCGATATTATAAAACATGCTAAACAAGTAACTTTCACCAAGTACTGTAATACCAAGTTGTACCGCAGTGGGTAAAGCGGGACGGCTGAGTACTCAGACAACCAAGTTCAAATCCGATGGACAGATAAATATTTTTATCTATAAATATCAAAAAAGTTTTATCTGTTGGGCCAAAAAATGTAAAAATTTAATACAAGGCTCCTGATATATTGTTATAAAAGCAGTTGAAAATTATTAAAAATACATAGTCACAGTTTTTTTTTTTAAGCATTTAAAGATCGAATTTTGACAAAAATTAATAAATAATGAAAAATATGATTTTGTATTTAAAAGTTCAGTATGTAATATAGGTTATACAAATATTGAAATATGTCTCGTACATAAGCGCAAATAGAGTTTGGAATTTGGGTAACCAATCAAAAAGTCCGGGAACGAAAATCCGGTATGAAAAATTTTCTCAAAAAGTCCGGATTCATTTTTTGATTGCCGGACAAAAAGTCCGAGTAAATTTTTACTGTCCGACAAAAAGTCCGAAAATACAAAATCGTCTATTAAATTTATAATTATAATATACCTAATACTATATAGGTATTATATACATGTAATCTAGACACGCGGTAGCGTGTAAAGCAAAGTTTAATCTAACAGAACTGGCGCGCAGCACCGTGTGTAATATTACACTAACCATTTGGAGCCACTTTTGACCCCCTCATAACTCAAAGTATATTCCACATAAACATGTAAAATTTGGCTCATATATTCAAACTTACGAGATACATATGTGCTTCAAATTTTATAAGCACACCTCAAACAGTTATTTGGATATTAACGTCCCAAAATCGTCATTTTTATAGGAGTTTACCAATTGCGCTTAAAATGACCTTTTAATATACCAATTATTGCGCAATGTCTTTTTTGGGTCGATATACCAATTGCGTTCAGTTATTTTCAGGGTTTATAATATTATTTTAATATTAATATGTTTTTAATATTTGTATTTTATATATCAATATTAATATTATAATATTATAAAAATACTTTAATGAAAATAATATGTATTATAAATAGATTTTTTCAGTCAATACAAAAAAATTATAAAATGAATGTCAATTTTAATAATAT